CTGCATTAGGGTGGCCTGGCTTTCAAGGATAGCATAGTTCCTTTAGCAGAATTCTTCCAGCAAAGCCCAGAGTAACTCCCTTATTGTCAGGAAAGATTTATGTCTCACTCAATAAGGAAGAAAAAAACTTTAGAGAGTAATGGATTCTGTTGATGTAACTAAGAGCAATATCTGTACCTACCACCAGGGCTTGCCATTAATGTGTTTGTGTTACTGTCCAATACCTGTTGCTAGCAGGCTTTATACATTTATTTAAATACATACAAGCAATTTCAGATCTGAGGATAAATATTGGGGGGTTTTATAGTGTGATACTTAATGTATTTTGGGCTCTGATCTTGTATATAAGAGACAGTATATTTGACTTTCAGATTTTGTCTGTAAAAGATATAATGAACATACACAATAGCCTGGGAATAGTGAAAAATAGAAAAGACGGAATAAAAATGAATAGTATGTAATTCTAATTTCTAACCAAAAGCTTTTGCTACAAGGTAAATTTGGTGCCAATATCTAATGCATGCCTGAAAATTCAGCTGGTTAAAAACTCAGAATGAAATGTGAAACAGGAAACCATTTGCTTTCTTATATCTTTCACATATATTTCCAATTGAACAAAAATCCCTCTTTGCTTTTAATAAGTGTAACTATAATTTCAGCAGAAAGAAAATAATGGATTAATACTTAGGTGATTATTCTTCAAAGGTATCACCCAAGCATTTTCCCTCTTGTACAGTATTGTCAGTGAGATCACAAAATTTCATTTACTGCTGGCAGAAATGTAACCAAGCTCCTCCCTCCATCCCTCCCCCAGGCATTGCAGTACATAAGAAAACTTTCTGCATGGGAGATGGCCAGGGAGCAAGGATGTTCTTGGGAACAGAATGGTGAAGGTGAGAAAACAAAGACTTTCTGCCTCTTTGGAGATAAAAGCCAGACAACATTAGCTTCAGAAAGCAGTGTGAAGGTTTTTTATTTTGAAGGGGATGTTCTAAGCATTTTGGTTTTGCTAAATATTTTTATACCATGAAAAATCTCAATTGCTTATTTTTTTAGTTTACATCTATGTGAATTTGATCAAAATATTCAGGGATGTATGTATACAAGTGTGTGCCTATGTACATAAAATACGTACACATAGGTTTTTAAGTCTTAGATGTGGTTTTATTTGAGGTACAGGGAGAAGCTGCATAAGAAAATGTGCCTTTAATATACAATCACTACATGGCTGTAAATATGTAGCTCTTCCTATAACATCCATGTGTCAGGAAAACATTTTACTAAATACTGATATATTTCTCATATTAATTACTGACTACCTTTTGTCCTGTTTTGTTGTTTCAGCTTATGCATGGCATTCCTTAAATCAGCTGTAGTACTAATCTTATACTCATCTTGACACAGTGAATTTTCTTTACCTGTAGTCCTTTAGAACGTCCAAGTTTGATTTTATAAAGGACTAAAATCTCTTAGATCTGCTGATAACTACTGAGATTTAAATAAAGAAAACTGTGATAATTATTGAGCAGAAGTATTTAGTCTTTATGAAAACTGAGTAGGTGATAGCTGTAGCTTTTGGCAAGGTATTGTACAGCACAGAAAAGAGAGATTTGTCTGTCCTGTTTCCTAAGGTGTTGCTCTGAGCTGCTTTCTCATTTTGTCTTATTCCAGATGAAGAAATGAACACATCTTTATTCCCCATGCAGAAGAATCCACTGAATGCATCCTAACACCAAACTAAGCAGTTAGTTTACTCAGTTTTTTTCAGATCCAGGAAATATTCGGTGGGTGGCTCTTGAGAAGGGAATGGATAGAAATAATTTGGGGCACAGAAGTGGTTATAATACATGCTAAAACTAGATTGAAACATAAATAAGGACATTTTCTTGTTTATGTTCCTTCTAGTTTTCCTGTCTCAAGAAACTCCTCAAAAATGCCCCTTAATGACTTTGCTTGTGTTTTACTGTGCAGTTCTATGAGTTTAAATTCCACTTTTATGGACTGTTGGAGATCTAATGGTCAACAGTTTGATTGCTGTTACCTCGCCACCCTTAAAAGGAACTCTTTGTACTTTTAGGGAGCTGAAAGGAGTTCTGAAATTTGTATAGATGGAACCAAATCAAGGAGTTGTGTATAAGCCTTGAATTTGTATTTTGTTTTTCAATCCAAAAGTCTAAATCTGTTAGTTATCATCTCTAGTGATAAGTCATTGCCCCAGGAAGCATCTTGTAAATTGTGTCTCTTAACACTTTATATTAATAGATTCATTTTTGGCATTACTTTTCTACTCTAGCAAATTGTCCCAAAGCCCAGCTTTTATCTTAAGAAATTTTAATAGCAAATTGTACTTTAGTAGTGCCCAGTGTCTGCTTCATTTAATGACTTGTTGTTCACCCCTTTCTATTGCTTTGCACATCATTTGTTCAGTAAATTTGATCAGACTGTGGAATTCCTCGGGTTTTAGCAGTATCCAAGGTCAGCCTTAAGCCAGTTAGACTGACCTCAAAGCTGGGCTAGCTTTGCACACTGAGTTCACTTCCTCTCAAGAGGAGAGAAATAATTTCCACTTAAAAGCAAAAATTGAATTTGAAGATGTGTTTTTGCATCCCTGATCCTGCCCAGAGTGGCAGGTAACTGAAGGTCCCCTCAGTGCATTAGTTGAGGTGTTTGGATAAGGCACGAACCCCGCTCTGGCCGAGCGAGATTGACTTTATTGCAAAGGCAGCAGTTTAAATACAGCGTTCAAATGTGTCACATGATCTCTCAACCAATGACAATCAAGTGTTTCACTGAGCATGCGCGAGAGACCGGAAAACTACAAATCCCACAATTCCCCATTACATTCTTTTTGCCACAATTTGTGTCTGTTACTGATGGACCACTGTCTGCTGCGGGGCCAGAGATACCAAAACCTATTGCAGCATTTTCAATTCTTAATTGAATTTAAATGGGAATTTCTTTCATGTCCTGTAGCGGAAAGAGCAGATCTGGACTCGAGCATTGTATCTGCCTCAGCAGCACACTTTAGGTAGTGTGTTGTTACAATTTCCTTGTAGCTACACACCCCCAAGTTTGTTCTCCCAAGTTCTAGAAGAAATCACATTCAGTTGTCCTTCAGCTACTTCTGGGAACGCTGGTTCTGTGTCTTCCCTCCCAGAATCAGTAACTAGGGAGACTTTCTGTCTAATGCAAAGACTGAAATTATTTCTAAGGGTAATACTTTACCTCAGTGTCTTGACTTAAAAATTCAGCTGGTTCAGCAGCTGACGAGGTGACTGAGTTCAGCTGAGCTTCAGGAATTCTGAGTAGTCACTCTGTCTTTTTAAAACGATTTAGCCACCTGGATCACAAGGATTTTTTTCAGTCACATATTCTTAGCTTCCTCTTTCCTAACCCAAGTCACAACCTGTAAATACTTGGCAGCTGTTGAAAGGCCCAAAAGTCTGTTGTTCTATATAAGCACTAGTATGTGGCTGGTACAGGTCTGTTGAAGAAATCCTCTCACGTTGTCCATGAATGCTTGTTCAGTTCTGACTTCTGGTCACTGTTGCTGAAGGGAATGTGTAAGGTTTTTTTACTCTTGATCACTGCTTTTGTCAGATTCAGTCTTCACTTTCAAAAATTCAGCTCCCAAATTCTTAATACTAAAACATTGTTTGTATATGCTAAAACAGTTTTCTTTGTTTCATTTCTTACAGTCAATATAGCTTCCTAAAAGCTCAGTCTCTCTGTTGTCCTTAAAATTGCTTTGAAGATCAAATCGATCATCTTAGAATTATGAAAGATTGAAAAAAAAAAGAGAGACCATCTTAATTTTCGCTTTATCTTTTGAGCTTTCAATTGGAAATGGGTCTGTGTGGTTTGGCAAAGTACCAGTTCTTTGGTTATATGCTTCCATTTTGTTACCATGGCAAATTCTAATCTCTGAGCTGTGGTTCCTGATCAGATCTGAACTTGCTTGTAAAGTCCCAGAGGAGGAAAAGAAAAACCACCCAAGTCCCATAAACCCAAACAAAATGGTTGTGCAAAGATTATTGTTTGCATATTCTTTTTAAAGGAATATATTGGCATCTGAAGAAGAGAGCAGTAATTACCAGAGGTTATTGATTCTCTAACACCTATGGTCCATAAGTGAACTCACAAGACAGAAATAGCACAGCTGGACCGCAACAATGAAAAATGCAGAGTGTTTCAAAGAATTAGGTGTTGATCTATGTTGGGGGTTTGTTTTACATTACTCTTTCTTTTAAATGAATGAGCTTCTAGTTGGTTTTGCCTTATATCCTGGGTGCCTCAAACAGAGCAAACACAGGGGTGGCCTCCCTCACATGGGGCACAGCGTGCAGTTCTGGCCCCACAATTTAGGAAGGATGTGAAGGTCCTTGAATGCACCCAGAGGAGGGCAAAAAGGCTGGTGAGAGGGCTGGAAGGAATGTCCTGTGAGGAGGGGCTGAAGGGTTTGGACTTGTCTAGTTTGGAGAAGAGGAGGCCAAGGGGTGACCTCGACACTCTCTACAGTTTCCTGAGGAGGGGAAGTGGAGAGGGAGGTGCTGAGCTTCTCTCCCTGGTATCCAGTGACAGCATGTGTGGGAATGGCACAAAGCTGCACTGGGTGTGGGTTGGGGTGAGACATTAGGAAGCCTTTCTTTACCAAGAGAGTGGTTGAACACTGGAACAGGCTTCCTGGAGGGGTGGCCCATGCCCAAAGCCTGTCAGTACTCAAGAGGCACTGGGAGAGAGCTCTTAGGAACAGCTTTAACATGGTCAGCCCTGAATTGCTCAGACAGTTACATTGGTTAGTTGTTGTGGGTCCCTTCCGACTGAAATTCCTCTTCTACTCTATTCTATTCACTTTTGATGCAGGTTTCATAGAAGTCAGAAATCATTTATCTAATAGATAGTAGTTTAAAGCTGTGTATTGTTTCTGTTATTTTCTAATTGTTCATAGCTTTTTTACCTTAATTGCCTCTAGCACTGGAAACAAACCTTCAGAAGGAAAAATGGATCGCTTGTCTTGGCCATCAGAAGCTAACAGCTTTCGACGTTTCACCCCTGAGTCCTTGGCTGCAATTGAGCAAAGAATTGCTGAGAAAAAAAAGCAGCCAGACAAAGAAAAAGAGAAGAATAAGGACCAAGGAGTTGAAGAAAAAGTTACTCCCCAGCTTGATCTGCAAATCTGCAAAAAGCTGCCATCCCTTTATGGGGACATTCCATCAGAGCTCATTGGGGAGCCCCTGGAGGATTTTGATCCATACTACAGTGATCACAAGGTTAAAACTTCCAAAAGCATTTCTTTGATTTAACTTTTTCTGCTGAACTCTTAAGAGATAGTAAAAGCTCTAGCTGGGAGATGCTGGGTTTTGATTGTTGTGCAGACAGGTCTTTCAACATTCCTGACATCTTTTGGGGCAGGAGTGCTGAGGTGTGCTCTGCTTTATGGCATGAAGAGGTATCTTCAGTTCCAGTTAACAGTCAGATTTAATTATGAGAACATAATACACATGATTGATACACTTCTACAGGAAATATATTCTGGGATAAGGGATGCTTTGTTTTGCAGAGCAATTTCTATGATGCCTGTGAGGCTGAACTCCCTGTGGTATAAACAGGGCCTGTCCAAGAGTAGATGATATACCAATTAGGGGAGGCATATTTGAGAGATTTCCAGCACACTGTGTAGCAAATCCATGTATTTGCATTGTTGTAAATTAATTTTCTGTTATTTTATGTCTTGTTGACTTTGTTTATTGTACCATATTTATATTGGAAATCCTCCATGCAATTGCAAAGGGGTTGGTGTTGTTGCCTGGGGGAGTGTCTAAAGTAGATGCTGTAGGAATCCCTCCTCAATTAAGTGTCTGTTGTATGATTGCTTACTGTTGAGGGGGACTTGACCTGAAGAGCAGGAGGTTCCATGCAGTGCTGTGCTGCTGTCTTTATGAAATGACCAGCAAGGCATTGGAATGTAATAATTGAATGGGAGAACATGCAGAAGACTTTGTTCTTCCAGAGATTTGTTTTTTCCAAGTAATCAAAGTAATAGTGTTGATGAAGAGAAACTGAGGCTGATTCAATTGAAGAAATGTATATTAGGAAACTGTGTTTTTCGTTCATGATATCTCATTTTTACGTGTAGCACAAGTACGGAGCTGCGTGGAACTTGAGGTAGCTGAGAAGGAATTTACAGAGCTGCTTGATAATTTGGGGATACTTCAAATTTTTAATTTTTCCTGTGGATGTCTGGAATTCTGGCAGTCCTACCCAATGTGTATTTTGTAAATAAGGTTTTGTAGCCTATAAAACTATCCAAGAGTGAGATACTTCTGAGTATGACTGTGACTACTGTTACAGTCCTAGAATAGTAATTACTAGTTAATTACTTTAAGTAGTTAAATTACTTTGACCAAGGGAATATGATCGCTTGCCCTTCATTCTCATGACTGCTTCTCCCTCTCAGGCAATAATGCACTTTTATAGAGTTGCTGTCTTTCCTTCCAAGTGTGTATGGCCAGGTCACAGCTCCAAGTAAGAAAACAGGAAAGCTTTTTTCATAATTGCACTTTTATATAGTTCTAGATGCAGACTTGAAAACCTGAACATTTCCTTTTTGGGGAAATTTAATTAGTTTAAAGATTTCATATCCTATGAATCTTTTCTTTGTAGACTTTTATGGTGCTAAACAAACAGAGGACTATTTTCCGTTTTACTGCCACGCCTGCCTTGTGTATATTTGGTCCTTTTAATCCAATCAGAAAAGCAGCAATTAAAATTCTGACCAATTCATATCCTTTCATTGGTTTCCCTTATTTGAATTTTAAAATATCCTGTATCATTTTCTGTCATTCTGTTCCTCTCTTTATATTAATGTGAACATAAGCTCTGATATAGATATGGCTGATAGATATCTTTTAGAAGTTATATGGAATCTTATGTTACAACAGCTGAGATATTTCCATGATGTTGGTGCTGATATTTAAAATCAATTTTGCAGATAGTGGTATGAAACAACCTTTAGAGGCTATTGTATGATATTGCAGCCCTTTTCCAGAACTTGTTCGAAATCTCTGCTGTGGTCACAAGGTTAAATTAAAAACATACAAACAAAGAAACAAAGCAAACCGGGGACTCCCTGGTTTTTAAGATATGAAAGATGGGATTTATGGTGAAGCTTTGCTGGAAGAGTCTCATGTTCTCCTAAGAAATGTGTTCCACACTCAAGTTTAGAATGTTCTGAAGAGTGCCCATCTTTCATATTTTTGAGACAATAGAACTGTAGTTTGGAGAATGTCAGAATGTGAAGGATTTGCAGGTGCTAAAACATCAAGTGAGTAGTTTCTGCTTTTTCTGCTAAATATCTCTATTCATTTGGAATTATTGATTTGTGAAAATAGATCCTTTTAATGGAACTTATGTCTGACTTTGAATGTGTATTCCTAGTATTAGAAATTACTAAATTTACTATTCACTTTCAATTAAACCCTACATTTAAAAACAAAGTTTATTTAAAAAACACCCCAAACAGTTTTATTAGATGGCAGGTGAACTTTTATGAAAGAATGTTTTTTCTTATGCACGTTTTCACTGCCTACCACACAAAGTGAGAAAGCTTTCTGAACTCCTGCAGAGCAGAGGGGTGTTTTGCTAACATGTGGATATGGAATCCCAGTTTCAAAGAACATTGGTTATTAGTAATGAGGCTTTTTCAACTGGTTTTCATTAGTTTATATTTCTCATCTCTTCTGTTAAACATGTTACATCCCACTTAAGTTCTAACTTAGTTTCTTTGGAAAACACATGAAAAGTCCTGAGCATATTCAAAATCAAAGTCATTATTTGAATGTCTGTATGCTTTCTGTGTGGAAAACAGGATCTTCTGTGAACTTCATTGTTTTATAATGTAGCATTTTTTCCTTAACTTACTATTCACATGGTTTGCTGTCTTTATTTTATTTACTGTGTACCTCAATTTTTCATTTTTGACTGTACGTCAGCTCCCACCAGCACTCAACTGGACTGAGTAAGTATCTAAGTGGCTCTGTGTTCCCTCTTTTGCCATGAATATTCACATGCAGGACCAAAAAATTTAAACAATGTGGTGATCTAATTCAGGGCCTTGAAAATTCTCAGTCAGACCTCTGAGGAAGATTGAGGATTGTTATTATATCTCCCAGTCTTTGGTGGAGCTTCAGTGCCTTTTCTCAGAGGCTCACACCATGTGCCCTTTCCTCTGTGTTGGCTAATTTTGCCATCTGCTGTGACATAGAAGGTTGGCCCATTTTTTCTTTTAAGGAATGAGCCTTTTAGAGAGACTGTGGGGTAGAATTCTAACTTAATATCTCTCCTTCTACAGCAATAACCTGAATGTCTGTTATGGTTGGCTCATGCAAAAACTAGAAAGGGATAAGTGTCCATTCTGGGGGTAAGCATGGTGATAAGAATAGGTTAATTTTCTGTAGGTTTGATTGCCATGATAGAGTTTTTCTCAGACAAAAACTATAAAATGTGCAAACTTTACAGGCTGAAATACGCCTTTGTTCAATTGTTCTTTTGTTCTATTGTTCTGCCAGAATGTTGAGACCTTGTGATTTTCCAGCCTGCTTTAGAATATGAACACAGTGTTAAAAATGTTTGCCAAGGAAGTGTGAGCTATCCTTCACCAAGAAATAATATCATAGGCTTCTGTGAACTTTTGTGGTTACAGATTTACTACCTGCAGTCTTATAGAATTCAGGAACACATTACCTGATACCCATGATGCTTCAGAAAGTAATATAATCTGTCCTATCATAGAAAATGCCTGAATGTGACTCAATCTCATTAATGTTTTTATTTCTTTAATCCTAATAAACACTTTCCTCCTCAGAATTGCTTTTACTGGCGTATATACTGCTGAAATGTTGATAAAAATACTAGCACGAGGATTTGTTTGGAATGAATTTACCTTCCTTCGAGATCCGTGGAACTGCTTGGATCTGTCTGTTACTATTGTAATGTAAGTACAACTCAGTTCTTTTACACTGAAGGGAAAAAGCCACAGATTTAATACTATTTGATGTTGCTGAAATTCCTGAGAGTGTTTGGCATCCTACCTGCTAAAGAGTTACTGTGCTTGAACCACTATTTGCGTATGTGCAAAGAGAAAAATAGTCATAGACTGGCTCAACTTTGGTTATGGTTTGAAAGTTACATCCTTGTCATTCAGTTATATGTGCTTTCATTTTATAGGTACGTTGCTACATTTATAGATATAGGTGATGTTTCACTTTTTGTATCTGTCAGAGTACTGATGACTTTGAAAGCCATTTCAGTAATACCAGGTAAGGAACAATCTTACTGCTATCCTCTCCATTTCACCAGTCTACTGATTCTGATTCCTCTCCTGTTCTTGTCTGCAGCTTTCTGGTCATTTTTTGTGACTGCTGATGGGATCCTGTATTATTGTATATATATAGTTGCTTTTAGGTGTGACTCTTTTACAATCTGTAGTAACTCTCAGCAGCATCCTAACAGAATTGTTTTAATCATCTTTCCTCCAAATGGTTTTGACAAAGGCAAATTTAATTTCTGCATTTTTCGTCCCATCACTAATGTTCAATTTTACTTAGTCCGATGCCTTTGTTCTTTTACTTTTGTGTTCCTGAAGCAGCCTCCTCTGTTTGATGTGTTCTCTTAACATAATATGGTTATACTCCCATATTTCTGTTTCCTTAGCTTAATTAACTTGCTAAGATTCATTGGCTTAATCATCTTTGGTTTCTTCCCGAGAATGCTGACTTCACAATATTTGAGACTTTCATTTGTTTCCTTGCTGACCCCAGCCACTATCTGGATTCTGTGTAATACTTTCAGCAATATGTTGCATATACCATCCAGATACTCGATATGTCATGCTCCTAACTAGGATATCAAAGGATGATTTGAGGGTCTACCTGCAAAAATTCATTTGAAAATCTGTCAATGACTGTATATGTTGTCATAATATATAGTAACTTTACTTCTATGTAATTGAAAATGTAGTTTTGATTTAGCTCTGAAATTATAGCAGGAATTAAACATAGAAAGTGTTTAATTTTATTGTCAAAACCACACATAATACTTTTCCTTTCATATTCAGCATGGAGAACAGAGATCAAGTATAATTTGACTTTTTTTCTTATGAAAAATCCTGGATATCCCTGTCTGCTTATATCATACCTCAGATTCAATGATTCTGCCTCAGTATTGGGCTTAAGTTCATATATAAGGCATTTTCTCAGAATCCCAGAATGGTTGAGTTTGAAAGGGACATCTGGAGGTTGTCTGGTCCAGCCTCACTGCCCAAGCAGGGCCACTGAGAGCTGGTTACCCAGGACCAGGTGCAGACAGCTTTTGTGAGTCTCCAAGGATTGAAACTCCAGAACCTCCCTGGGTAACCCGTGCCAGTGCTCAGTCACCCTCTCAGTAGAAAAGTGGTTCCTGATGTTCAGATGGAACATCCCATGTCTCGATTTGTGCCCATGGCCTCTGGCCCTGGCACTGGGCACCACTGAAAAGCACCTGGATCCATCCTCTTTGCACTCTCCCTTCAGATTTGTGCAGACATGGAGGAGATCCCCCTTGAGCCCTCTCTTCTCCAGGCTGACCAGGCCCAGCTCAGCCTTTCCTCGTGGCAGAGTTGCTCCAGTCCCTTCCCCATGTTTGTGGCCATTTGCTGGACTCTGCAGTGTGTCCATGGGCCAGAACTGGAGCCAGTAGTCCAGCTGTGGCCCCACCAGGGCTGGGTAGAGAGGAACAATCACCTCCCTTGACCTGCTGGCCATGCTTTGCCTAACACAGCCCAGGAAACAGTCACCCTCTTTGTCACAAGGCACTGTTGCTGGATCATGTTCAGGTTGGTGTCCTCCAGAATACCCAGGACTCTTTCTGCCAAGCTGTGTTCCAGCTGGCTGGTCCCCAACATTTATATGTTTCCTTACTAATGTCGTATATGTCCTTTTGCTTTTAAACTGGTGGCATCTGTAAGGGATTACCTTCTAAGGCAGAGTTCCCCAAGGCCAGCAGAAGCTGTCCTTCATTGTAATGTGTATTTGGCACAAAGTGGAGTACTTGTTCAGTGTTAATCAAGCAGAGATACAGAAAGCTGCTGCTATTCATTAAAGACTTTGCTAGTCTACCATCTTAATTTAGAATTTGCAAGATAGTAAAATTAGTGTTAGTACTAAAAAGAAGCCAAAGAAATTATGATTAAGAAATTTAGGGAAAAATGCTTTACTCACTCCTATGCTTTGTTTTACCTCATTTAATACTCAGAAATTACAAACCTGTTTACTCTGATTGTTTTTAACAGACTTGCAACTGCTGTGTCTTGTCATATGGGAATATCACTGCATTCCTCTTCTCATTTTGCTTATTTTTGGATTTTATTTTTCTAGGTTTGAAAATCGTGGTAAATTCAATTGTTGAATCTCTTAAGAAACTTGCTGATGTGTTGATCTTGACTGTATTTTGCTTGAGTATATTTGCCCTAATAGGCCTCCAGCTTTTTATGGGCAACTTAAGATTCAAATGTGTCCTCAATAATACTGTGTACAGTGACTCATTATGTAAGGATCCCAAGATCTATGTACCAAGTGATGAAGGTAAATGTTATTCTTTTCTCTCTTTACATAATCTGTGTATCTTCCTATGAATGTCTTGAATTTCAGAGGTATGTTAAACTAAAGTTGCATGTCTTTCTCCCAAGAAGGAAAACCCTTCCGTTGGCACGAGTCTTAATAGGAAGTCTCTGGAACCAGTGAATGTGAAATTAGTGAATCTTGGATTTGGAGAAAGATCAGCAGTCTGTGGGATAGATGGGGCTGAGTTTTCTATAAGCATTTGCCCTTTTACCTGTGCACGGTACAGGGGTCCTAATTTTAGGGGTACTGCACAGGGAATGGTTATTTTCCCATCACTTTTTCTGTATTTCAGAAAAATACTTCTCACAGCAATTCTTACTTTTAGCAGAGACCAAATGAAATCTTACATTGTGAGTTGTGCAGTAAATAGTCGCTGCTTTTTTTAATCAGTCACAGAGACAGATTTGCTGAGAATCAGCCCTATACATCCTTTGTTGTGAAAGGATCCTTCCCAGAGCTTTGATCCATCAGGGTGTTTATCAAGTGCAGTAAATGTATAGTTTCCTGTCAGAAGGCTGTGCAAACTGACAACTTCTGATTTTATGATTCCTTGATTTATTTTTTATTAGATATCTGCCACAGAATGAATGGCTCTTCTGACATATTGCTCTGTGGCTTCAGTTCAGATCCTGAGTAAGTGACCAAAGCAATTTTAGTATTTTCTTAATTTGTTCCTCCAGATGTGGTGTGGTTTTATTTCTGGTCTAAAGGAATGGTGATGATTTTTCAGGAAGATAGGGTGCATGTGTGTCATTAAAGGCAGATGCTTCATCTCAGAAAAAGAATGAAGTACAAGGATGCAACCACTTATGTATGTAATTTGTTGCTAACCACGGGGAATGTAATGGTAAGGTAGAATGATATAAATGAGGAGAAGAAGAGATCAGTAAAGACCTGTTAGATATTAATAAACTCTCCTCTCTTCATCTTGGTGAATTTTTTAGAAGTAAAATAATTCCATTTTCCCCCTCTCTGTGTATTTGTTTGCACATATCCAACATCATGAGAGACTTTTTGTCTAGTCCTAAACTAAGATTTCTGTCCAGTTTTCTCTGATTAGACAAATGGCTTTCTAGGATGGTTTGGTATAAATCAGCCCTTCTGGCAGAATTAAATTGAGGAATTATGAAATGGACTTTCAGATAAACTGAACAAATTTGGTGTTGTCTATTGGGTGCTTTCGGGTACTGTTAAATTTCCAAGTAAATATTGTTTAATCTTTATTTTGTCGTTAGGAAAGAGTGCCCAGAAAACTATACCTGCCAGAAGATTGGGCAGAATCCTGACTTTGGTTATACAAGTTTTGATCATTTTGGCTGGGCCTTCCTCTCTGTATTCCGTCTGATGACACAGGATTCCTGGGAGCGTCTCTACAGACAGGTGGGTACTTTTATTACCTGATAGAATGACTTGACACATGCAATTCAGAGCCACTAGAAAAACCTCTGCTGGTTTTAACCTTACTGACACCACATTTCCTTCAAAATCCATGTAAATATTAAGGGAGTAGGTTCAAGTGACTAAGTTGTAACACCTTCTGCAAGGGACATGGAATGGGAGCAATCCTGTTGGGAATGCCCATAGTTCTGTAGGAGAACACACTGGGGTCAGTGGTTAAGAGTGAAATATGAGAATGGGACCACCCAAGGATTGGGATATACAGCAGATCCAGCCAGTGAGCTCACTGCTGCTGCAGGGAGCGTGAGGACTTGTTGCCTTCTCTGTTCCTCTTCCTTTTAAGTCCTGACTCCTCACCAAACCTTTTGGCTCAACACTTTAGTTTCAGATCATTTTTGACAACTGACATTAAAAATTTGGAGGCTTGATGTTTTGATTCAGAGAGTTGAATGTACCTTTTGAATTCTGGTGGGTTTTTTTTTTTCAGAAATGCTATAAAAATGCATGTAGACAACTCTCTGGATCCCTTATATCTATACAGTGCCTTTGCTAGCCAAGAATTATCCTCTGCCTTGTTCTGTAAATTTCATATTTTCCATTTTAACTTTTTTTTCCTTCAACCCTTATTAACTTAAGACTTCTTTTTAGAATAGATATAATTTCTTTTTGTCATTTAAATGTCTCAGAGCTTAATTTTGAGCCATCTCCTCTGCTGCCATTTAAACAAATGTAAGAGTAAGGTAATCACTCCGATTCTGTAATTATAA